AAATAATTAGCTCCCCAGTGGTCTGAATATATAAGGTGAGATTGAGGGTAATTCTTAAATATGCCCTGTGGTGTTACTCTCAAAGTGTGTATCAACAGTCTGGTCATTTCCTGGAGTGATAAATAGAGATGTGTGGAAGATGGATGTCCCCCAGCTACACCCACACCTGACATACAGTATGATGCAAAGTGTGTGCTGATTTACACTGGTTTGTCACCACCATATGGCTCACATCACTCATTTCCCCAATGACCAGGATGGAGACCACTTCATCAAGGAGAGGGCAGCAGTCCTAATGGTCGTGGTTATGATTTGGACAGAGGGGGGAAGGGACAGAGGACTTTCGAAATCAGCCAAATCAAACAAACAGCCAGTTCCCCAACCCCAGCCTCCTCCACTGATTCCTCAATCAAGCTCGCCTCGTTTGTTTGCTAAACGAAAATGGGCTCTGTGAGCTCTCGACCCTGTGTCAATAAACCTGAAGAGGCAAAGCGATCAATGACAAAGAAGGCATTCAATTTACGTTTAAAACCGAGGCTAATCAGCTAATTTGCTTGGTTCAATGTGGTATCCTAAGCTCCCCACAACGTCGACTCAAATGTCCTGGAAATGAGCATAAAGATTGTTTTCTCATTTTACATAAGTCGGTGAACTGTGGTCGGAGGGGTTGAGTTATACAACTGCCACAGTTTTTCATTCATGAGCTTATCTGTCATAAAAGAGTGCCCTCATTGAATGGTGAGGATAGTGAAGAACAAATAAGGTGGTTTTGTGGTGCAAAGTGAATCTGAAATTTAATGTATGCTCTGGTTTTATTTTTGTTATTAGTATATTATGGAATTAAGTAGTTTGTTTTACTAAAATTAGGTTTATTTGTCAGGACCACCTTTAAGGAATTATTTTATTGGAACACATTCTGTAAATGTGACTAACATTTTTTGTGTTGTTTAGAGTCTTCATTGCAAGATTTCAGCTCGTAGGTTACATATAACACCTTGATGGTGGTAGCATGGTGTTCATTCATGCCCTCACACTCCATGTCTAAATAGCCCAAACCACCTCCTCTAATTAAAAATGTATTTGATTTTACTTTCTGTATACTGGAGACAGGCAGGAGACAGCATTTTCCTGTATCTGCCGGTGTGGAAAATGCCATTGGTGGAGGAAAACAAATTCTAATGCACCGTGCAATGTGGTGGAAATTATATTCAAACGTGATTGATCTGTTTATCCTGGATGGGAGCAGGCGACAATTTAACATTATTACCTTTCCCAAAGGCAGAGTCATGCGATTTAAAATAAACAGTAATCAGTCTTATTTCACTCTTCCAAATGACACCATCATCCGTGTTTGTTTATTCAGCCGTTTACTCTTGTTTTGGTTGATGAATTCATTCATTCATTCACTCATTCATCCATTCATTCATTCACTCATTCCCTTTCAGTTCATTCATCTGCCTATTCACCACAGACTAGCACGTGTAAAAAATAAAAAAAAATGGGTATGCGGTTGGGTTCCTGTATGCAATTCAGTCATCTGCCTCGCCTTTAATTAGAGCATGATAACATGTTTTTAAACTCTATCCCTCTCTGCTTCGTGTTCCCCGTGAAAGGCTCATGAATAAATTGAGGAGGAACATCCACTTTTGAACTCACTGGGCTTTACAGTACAAGGAGACGAGTGCTGCTCTCAAAAATGTGGAGCAGGAGATGACAGGAAGAGTTCTAAAACTGTGCATTTGCTTCTCCTTCACCACAGATTATAACTGATATAACTGATTATAACTGCAGTGGCAAAGCAAAGAATGAAGACTATAATATCTCAAATTAAATGGACTGAAAACCTAATTTATCTTGTATATCAATAAAGCAGCCTCTGTGTAAAAGTCATATGTGCATATAACATGATAAAAAAGAAACAAAACATTTAGTCTCAGCTGGCCATTTATATCTATGGCTGTGGTACACGGCACTGCTGTTTAACACACTTCTGACAGGCTGACCGGATCTGCTGTATGTTTAAAGAGAGACTAAAATAATGAACATTGACCTGGAGTACATTTATTTTATTGGTTTGAGAAGGAGCTGACAATTTGAATGTTCCTGATGTGGGGTTGCATGGCACAGGAGGGAAAGAGCTTTACTGACCCATAAACAAACATCCGATTTGGATCAATAAGTAGAGTGGCCAATGCCGCCTTCAGATGGTTACCATAAATCTGCAAGGGCCGCCCTCTCCCTCATTAAATTATAAAGGATCTGCGAGCCGTGAAACACTAACAGCGAAGCGTCACACTGGTTGCTAAAAATAGCGAGGACTAAACAAAAGAGTTTTTTTTTTCCTTCCACATTCATATTGTTACTCAAGAATCCTTTTAACTATCTACTTCACTCATTCCCCGAGGTCAGTCTAGAGAGGTGGGCAAAGCCAGGCATGGTGTGTTTGCAGGGTGTCGTCCGTGCGTCAACAAAATACTAACACGTCCCGGTGATGTCATGATGAGGGAGATACAGTTGTTCTGGTGGACTGGAACACTCGCACTGAGGCACTCCGTCTCTGCCAGCAGGTCCGAGGTGCATCTTGTTGCTCCAATTTAAATTGCAAATCCACTTAAAGTACATAAGTCAAGAGTGCTCCCAGCTAAAATGCAAGCCGTGTTGTCTGTGGAAGATTTTAAAAAATCATGGACCTTGCACTCAGGAGGATTACATTTTCATGCGCTAAAAAGGGGGAAGGAGAGTCCCAACACATTATCATCGTCACCTCCAGATGGGGCAGCCCCCACACAGCAAATCATATTTATCCTAAAAGAATATCATGCATTTTTCCCTAACATCATATAATGCATTTCACAACAGGTCATATGTTTTCAGAGCAGTGAGAAATGGGTGTGTTCTTGGTGATGTGAAACTAATCAGGGAGAAAGAGCAGTTTCCACACTAGTGACTTTTCAAGGCCCTGTGGTATAAATATCAACCATCTGTGAGGCCATCTGCATTGGGGTGCTATATCATACACCAAGGCCAAGCCACCAAACGCAGACAAGTTGCCTCCCATGGCACTATCTACACTGCACGGGAGACAAGTAACGTATCGCAGAATCGCTGCTATCAACAATGGATCTGCCCCATATCTTATGTAGTGTCGTTATTCATCCATACTTAAGTTAGGTCATCTTTTAAAGGAGCAATTGTGATAACCTCAGTGCTGTATAATGCATTTTACAGCTGCACGCTCCACCCTGCCTCCGGATCTCATCTTTCTTCCGAAAAGCCTGCTTTAGGGGGAAAAACATAGATGTAATATATGTTGGCTATCAGGTGAGTTTTCAATCAAGTGTTTTTATCTGAAGTTAAATTACAGTAGGACGGCTGTGATTCCAGGGCCAAACATGCCTGTTACAACCAGCCATCCATCATAGTTTGACAGGTGATATTGCAACGGTTTTCGAGTAGTTTTTGCTTTTGTTACTTTACTACGCTGACTTCTGTGTACCAACTTCTGCAGGGATGAGTTGCAATGAGACTGTGACCTTTTATATTTAGTTGGAAATACAGAGATAAACAGAGCAACACAAGCAGAGAGTGTTATTACGTACAAAATACCCGACCACACAAGACTGAAGACATCACGTCAGTGTGTCTTATCTTGCTCTTGCAACATCTGGAATGAGGTTGTGTGTGTTTGTTGCGCCCTCTGTGCTTCATCAAGTGTTCTCTGTGAACATGTGTTTCTTTGTATCTATGTGTTTGCGATGCGAACAAGAGAAAAGAAGAGAGGCAGAGCGCATGAGTGTGTGTGTGTCGACTTGTGCATGTGAGACATTGTTTCAAGCTATCTAGTTATTGGAACGGAAAGGAAAGGAGGAAGGCTGGTGCTGAAGAGCAAGCCACTCGAGGGGGAAAGAGAGAGCGAGAGAGAGCAGAGGGGGCCACTGGCGAGTGGAAATCCTTTTGTTATTTCTGGAGATTGTTGAGACACAGAAAAGGGGGATTAATTTGTCTCAAGGTCTGAGAGCAGACAGCAGCACTCCCCCTTTTTAGCTGTTTGTTTACCTCACTAAGATCATGCTGCTCTTGTGAAATATCTAACCCAAAGCTGGTGATTGGATAAATCTTGCACGGCAGTTTTAAAAACGATTGATAGAGAGAAGCTGGACAAATAAAAAAAATATGATAAGCGAACAAAAACATGCCTTCTGGTTCAAAACAGATGTTTAACGTGCCTTTGATCACTAGCATGCATCATCATAGCCTGCAAAACATAAATAGCGTGGAAAATGTATCATGCTTTTGAAGTTGAAACAGGAGGCATTTCTTGTTTCTTGATGTAAAATCATACTAGGGTAGACAGACAATCCAAATTCTTCCTTCTCAGATTAATCGTTTGGTCAGTTGAATGTCAAATCACAGAACCCAAGGTGATGCCATCAGATGGCTTTGTCTAATGATATTCAGTGTAGGGTCGTAAGTTGAAGAAAAGCAGCAAATCTGCATTAAGAAACAGTGAGTTTTTGCTTTAAAGATGATTTAACTTAATTTTGATCTGATCGATTAATCGACTATCATTTCAGCCCTAAGCACTAGGACTTTAACCATGTTAAATGATGTAAAATAATGCATAGTGATATAGATTGATATATTAGATTGCAAAATACTATAACATTTATAGGATGAATTTCAGATAAACTCATAAGCTCAATATGAACGGACCATTTACTCACTATAAACCCTATCCAGTTCCATATGACAGGACTGTTTTCATTAAAGGCAACTTTGATTCCTTTCACATCAAAAGGAATGGAGCCTGCAACACCTAACAACAGGACTCACCTCCTCTCTACAAACCCTTTAGTGTGTGTAGCACACTGTAACTTCAGACTCTAGAGGTCTCCATCCTTCAGCATCCCCTCATCATCCACCTATTCGCCCTCCTCCCTCCTCCCCCCCTCCTCCCCCCGCCCCCCTCCTTCCAGGCAATTTGTGCAGCGGAGGAGGAAAGGAGGAGAGACTGCTGAGGTGGAGACAGAGGGGACCCTGAGACAACACGTCCCACGCCAGAGCCAGACAGCCAGGGAACTTTGATTTGACGCCAAGTAGCCCGCGACGAAAATGACGATGAAGAGCAAGAGCCACGTTTCTTCTTCTTTTTGGGAGGCTTAGACATGTCGGGCGTGTGCAACATATGATGTCCTTGGACTCATGTGCTCAATGAAGATTTATTTGTCTGTGATTTCGCTCTTCCACTCGCTGATGGTGCCGCTCCGTTGTGCCTGCACTTAGGTCAGCCGAATGCATTTGAAGGCAGTCTGAGCGCATTGTTTCCAGCTCCGTTGCATATGGGATTTCCAGCCGTGATGTCTGCAATATTTCGCTCTTTGTTTCTCGGTAAGTCACTTCCCATTCCTTTAAAAGATAATTAATATATTTTTTTTTAAAGCAGCGTAACGATGTGCCACACGGGCGATGTGTACATTGTCTGTCGTTGTTCTATTTCTAATGATTCTATAATAAATCTGTATTGTTTAGCGCGTCTAACAACACATCTGCCAACATTAGAATGATGTCACGATATTTTTGTTTTTATTTGATTTATCACCCTTCCACTTTATAGGGCGCATGTTAAGAAATTGCCATTTCTATTTACGCGTATGGAAATGCACAAGTCAACCTTGATTTTCAAGGCTGCTCTATGCTCAGGGGAGCTCTGAAAAAAGGGGGAGAAATTAAAGGGGATAAAAGTTCACCTGACCGCTCCCTCCCTTTAAATCTGCTATTTGTTTATTCTGTGTGTACATCTATATCGGAAACAGGCCTGCTGCAGATAAACAAACTGTTTTTTTTTACCATTGTTTGACAAAGACAAAAAAAAAATCCCTGGTGTAGCACATACAGCAACCACTAAGATATTTTCCATATACTGTCTCTTAAGCCCCATTTTTTTAAGTGTCCTGGATTTTATTTGAGAATTAAAAAAAATAGAATTTGTTTTTTGTTTTTTGTTTTTCAGCTTGAAATGGAGACTGAGTTCATTGGTTTGTGTCTTATGATCATAAATGAAAGCTTTCTTTGTCGATCAGACAGCAATTTATGCTCTCACCACTAACTCCCGACACGGACACTGCTCCTATTAACACTATATTATAGTAATGTACTGAGGGCCTGCAGGAGGTTCAGAGCTAAATGAGGGATTGTTTAATTCCACTGACTGGAAGTTACAGTAAGACAGAGTGTAAGAATGACTTCCAGTAAAAGGTTTCACACTCCTTACTGCTGTCTCGTCACCTGCAGTGGAATTTCCCTAGATGGGTTTAACTGGGGATAAACCAGCGTTTTCCAGCAGGGAGTTTACAGTCTGACGTGACTAGGAATTAGGGATACTTGGTATGAAAAAGTTTTGAAACCTCAGTTAAAGTAAGAGTAGTTGAGAGTGGCCATATGTGGGATAATGCACCCAAGAGCTGGCGCCTCGTCAGCTTTGGTTTGAGTCCAAACGTCGTGCTGTAGTCTGCGTGATGCTTGCTGTTCATGGGTTTGCAGTCTGGAGAGAATCGAAATACTCGATCATTTGGATTAAATTTTTTTTTAATTTAGTTTAGACATACAGCTGGTGTTATTTACTCATCCTTGATGCGGGTTGTGCTGTAGGCTTGTAGATGCGTAAAGAGTTTGTTTCCTTCAGCTCCCATTATTCAGTTACTTACATACTGTGGTGACTTCTCAGGAGACTAACTTGTCGCTTGCTCAGTGCATTCTGGGAAAGGCTCCAGTCCCATGTGACCCCTTTAAGAAGATAAGCAGTATAGAAAATGGAAGAATGGAGATGCGATGTTGACCTGCATATTCACTGACTTGTTAAGGCCCAGTCAACCAGTGAAACCACAGTGTGTTCCCAGTGGTGATGGTCACTGATCCTCTGCTTTAACCAAAGGAGCTGACTAGGCAGTGGACACCGCATACCAACACATTTTGTGGTTTCAGTCATCAACCTTGTTGTATTAAATGTGATTCAAGCTAAACATGTAGATTATCCAAATACCAGTTCCCTACTGTTGATGATGATGATGATGTTGATGATGATGATGATGATGATAATGATGATGATGATGATAATAAAAACACAACCAATCATTAGCTGGCAAAGCTGAGCCAGCTATTGCAAGGTGAGAACATTACCCATGAGTTTATACAACAGTAATTTATTCCCTGATAAAAATAATAATTGTAGACTTCTCTTAAAATAACCATCAGCCTGAGCCTAGAGTATTAAATGACTTGTTGTTGCCATGGTGGGGCCTTTTCTCCTTCCCCTGTCATGTCATAAGATATGACTATATAAAACAATGCATGCAGCTGAAAACAATATCATTAGGGTGAATGACCAGTACAGTCGCAACCTGGGTCATGTGTCTCTCATGCAAGAACAAAATATCTGCCAGTCAGCCAAAAGAGCATTTTTCCCTGACCGAGCGGGGTGATATGTAGCTTTTCAGGCTAGGCTGTTCTGCAGCACCACACTGAAGGACATTTTCCTAAAGTTATTGCCTGTATTAATTCAAGATCAACACCAAGGCCAAGTAAAGAGAGGAAGTGGTTGTTTTATTATAAAAGAATCAATAGTCATTAATAGGGCCTCATTTCCTTTTTATTTGGCTTTGGCCTCGTAAGTCCTGAGACATCCTTAATTTAATATCTGTTGGAGATGTAATATCCACTGTTCACATTACAGATAAGTAGCACAATTAATTGCCACGGAGAGTTACGTAGCTCCCTTCTGTAACTATGCCGGCACAAAGTAAGAAACAGAACAAGGTCAAGTAGAGTAACGCAGTAACAGTGTGGTAGATCCAGCCAGGTAAAGGAGACTAGTGATGGATTGCCTATCTGTCCCTGTGCCAGGATTAAATGATTCTGAATTGTGGGATTTGAAAATGACTGTCCAAGAAGTAATAACATAGTGTAAGTCACTTGACAGAAATGTAATTGGAAAGAATGAGCAGCTTTTATAGATCCAAATGTCTGCACCCTCCCTTGCTGTTCGTTTGAGCATCAGTCTATAAGACAATGAGTAAGCATGGGAATGCAGTAGGATGTTAGCATTAGTGTGTGCTGATGCTTGTTCGTTTACATGCAAGCATACACATGTATAACAGCGAGAAGATTGCAGTGCCTATGCACGTATGCTAGTGTTAGATGTAGATAAAGAGAGCAGTGGCTCCAAACAGAAATTCTGTCCCCATTCTATATTTAGCATGTCTGCCGGGGTAGGCAGAGGATCTCTGAAATGTGAAGATGACAGGAGCCTCCTGAGCCAGAGGTTATGAAGTGACATCTTGATGTGTTTGCGCCTGAATCACACTCCCACACACACCCAGCCAAAGACTTCTGACATTCCTACAAACCCAGAGACATTTCGATATTTGACGTCTAGTTACCATACATTAAGGCTCTGTTTTGATCTCCTTTTGAATCGCATTATTCTTTGCCGTTATTATGTTGCACCCCCTGTATATGTTCTCAGCTTTGAAAATGTGTGTTTTTTGAGAGCATGTGATGAATTTGGCACATTTGCTTTGCGGGACTCAAACATGTACAATATTTAAAGTGTTTGTCAGTTGTTTGTGTTTGTGGCGCCTGACACAGTGAGTTAACCTTCATCTCACATTGTAAAAGCGTAAACCTTTAAATGACCCTTTAAATGGTAATTTAGAGTTAATTTGATGAACGTGATGCACACATATCAAGGCTTTAAGCACATTTTTACACACAGACTGAGCAAAGGGATATACATATATGTACTCAGAAATCAATATCCAGTAGAAATTGCTTTCAAGCTGTGGGACATACAGTACAGTAGAGATGCAGCTGTTCAGGGAAAAATAGAAAACAGCGAGCAGTGCATAGCTCTACATTGCTAAATTACTTCCCATACACCTACAATGTCAGCGATTTGACATGCCGGACAAAGTGTAAACAGATTTCCATCACAGAGGATTGTATTACTCAAAGCAAAAATGGGAAATCTGAATTTCTCTGCAAGGGCAGAGCACTCTGGAATACAAAACCTCGACCAAGGGTGACTCAAGAAGCCTATAGATGAGTACAGAGGTCCAGCCTTCCTCAAAACAATTGACCCATATCATTAACAAACACTGATTTGCCTTCCAAGCACTTCCCCCCTGATGTGTATGGCCTTTGAATGACAGCATGCTTCCCTGAATAACAAGCCATCCTTTTTTTGTACCTAAGGGATTCTTCATGTTTCATTGATTGTAGAGCTTTTAGTCAGAAGGTCTTTCTATTCTGTCGCAGCAAGCTGGATGCCATGCTTCCAGTGAATGAGAGTGTTTGTAGGTGAAACTATACCTGCTTTGTACTACAAGTGCTTTTATTTCTACTAGTAGAGAGTCAAGGCAGGTTGTATTTTTATAGCATCCAAAGTACGTCCAAGGTAAAAATAAAGGTCACACTGGTGGAATGAGTGTATAGTCTGTCCTTAATTCATCTACTGCTTCTACAATATTTCTTTGTTTGACAGTTTCTTCATCTTTCTTCCTGCTGTGTTTCTGCCACACTCATACTTTCCGAGCTATCCAAGCATTATTCTGTATGGGCGTTTTGTCACTTGCATCTTGTAAAACACTAGACAAATGCCTAGACAGAGCTGGGTTTGTGTAGTATTTCTGACCTACAAACCCTCCCCCTTTTCATCCTTCACTGGGAAAATTACTGCCAGATTATTTTGGAACGTATGAACAGGAACTGCCTATTTCACTTTACTGCTAATCTTTGACAGATGTTCTGGAGAGACTCACATCCACATTAACTGGAGCCCCATGCACAACCTACACATGACATTACACTACATTAGTGTGCTCTACTGCTGTACACAAACAATTCAACGACGTTTTCTATCCATCTAACTATCATGCATACGTGACAACTACCTGCTGTTTTATACAGTACAATGGGCTATTTCTTTGCTGTGACCAGTAACTTTCAGAAACTGGAGTCTCTGCTGGTTCTCAGCCAAGAACCTCTGTAAAACAATAAATTGTCATTTTTACATGTTTGTTTTGTTGCACATATTAAACAAACAAGATGTAATGTGTTAATTAATGAGGTTTACAGCCTTTGAACACTACCAAGCTATTTTTTTACTGTGTCCAGTCTTTATGCGAAGCTAAGCTAACCAGCTGCTGACTGTAGTTTTATATTTACTGTATGGACATGAGAATGGTAGCAAGGTTCTCAGAAAATATTGGATATTCGATTTGAAAGCTCATTGCTAGGAAGTTGCTCCTGAGATTTTGCTCAGTACATTTAATGTTTTTACAATCAGTGATAAATCAATTGGCAGAAAATTAACCAGCAACAGTTTTTACAAT